GCCTTTTTTTTTTTTTTTTTTTTTTGATGATTCATCCAGTCTAGAACTGATTAGTTAGGGAAATGCACTTTTGGTTTTAAACAATGGTTATGGAGACTGTAGAAGATAATAGCGATAGCTGCAGTGAATCATGCCAAGTCAGAAGGGCAGCGTGGAAAAAACTGCAGAGGTTTCTTTATCATCTTAATTTGTGCATAATGTATGGAACACACTTCTTTTAAGAGCAGAGTCAGAGTCAAAAGATAAGAAACTAACTTGTCGGGGGTCTCACTTTTTCTTTATGCTTTATTCTATGATGGAAGAAGCAGATTCAGTCAAGATAACTGAATGGAGCCTATCAAGTTATACGCTCATATCATATGCTTCATTACAGTGAGGCACTGACAACACCGTCAAACTTAAATTGATTGTAAAGGCAGCTGACATGCAAGCAGTTGCAAAGTGCCATTTGAAATATGTTTGCATTGGATAATCTTTTTGGTCATGAATTTTTAAGAAAATGCAATGATTACTCCTGGGTTTAAAGAAGCATTCCAGAGCTGTCATGCTTCCCATATTCATATTCAATGTCTTGTCTGCTAAAACCAGAGAACAGTGGGATGGCTATGAGTGTTTCCACTGCAAAGCTCCTACCTTACCTTGTGATGGGACGGAAGAGAATATCAGGATGTTAATGCAGTGTATCTGGGAAATAGTTTTCTGGTACTTTAAGATGTCAGCCAATACTACTTTTATTTAGAGTCCATCAAACTATCATTACTTGAGATGCAAGACTCTTTCAAAAGCCTGCTGTTTAGAGCTTTCTGTTGCAGGATTTCATTTTGAGATTCTGTAAGGATTGCCACTTTGTCTGTAGATCTTAAGTCCTGTTTGGCTCATTGACATCTAGAATACTGTTTCACAAAAGACTACCATAGGCAGAAAAAAGAGAGGGGGGGGGAAAGTAGATATGGTATGCACTGTCTACGAGATGCACAGCTATGCCTTCTATGATAAAATGACCAGATTCATGGATAAGAGAAGAACAGTAGTTGTCATTTGCTTTTGAAAAATCTCTACTTCTGTCCTTTGAAGATGAGAAGATTCACTATATAAATATGCCTTTTGTATTTAATCAAGCAGAAGTTTACATGGGTACCACTCGGTAGGCACACTCTTGCTCTTTCATATTGCAAAAGGAAAACTGATTAAAATGTGGTAACACGCCAACAACACACTCAAAATATTCTCTTTCAGACTTTCATAATATTTCTGTAAATGCTGTGTGGTAAGCTGACCTTTAAACTGAATCAGTTTTGACATCTGCAACGCTACTCAAAATGGGATACTATTTAGATAGTGTTAACTTTGTAGCGACAAGCTATATGTATAAACCAATTTTTTGTATTTAATATCTCAATTTATTATGGTAGGCATAGCTCTTGTTTGAATGTGTCTTTTACTTTGAGTCCACGTTATTATCTCCAATGTGATGTGCAACTATCGCTTTTGTCAAACAGGCAGTAACTGAAATCCTATTAGGAAGAAGTATGATAATGTGTAGCATGTGAGGAATGAATGTTGTACACGGATTTCCATCGGTGTAATGATGCATAGGAGTTGCATGTCCAGCAGAGATGTCAAGTGCGTTTATGCTAAAATAGACAAAAGCATATAGATTATGAAATTTAGGGACACCAGGCAAATCCAGAAGGATGCTCAGCAGTACCGATTCTTTGTGGTTTGAGTGAGTCCTATGAGAGGGAGCTCAGACTGTCAGGATGAAACCCTTTGATGAAGGAACGTTTGCCCAATATTAAGACTAGAGGAACATTTTTTTTCTCCTGCTTTAACTGAAGGGTTTTGCTCAGATTAAGTAATATGCCAGCTGCATTCCTGGCACACAGCAAACAATGAGATATTTTGCATAACCTAGACAAAATACAGAAAAACAGCCTTTTTATTGCCTGTGATGTTAGCACTGTCTTTCAAATTCGAAAAGTGCCACCTTATAAGCAGAAGTAATACTGCAAATATAACCGCAGGATGCCCCAATGCTGCTTTTTCTTCTGAGAAGATGGGTTTTTCTTTACACTCATGGAGAGATTTGCATTTTTCAATTGTTTGATTGGGTTAATTGCTATGTTTACAACTGTTGCAGATTGTAGTGTCTCCTAAGGCTAATCTTGAGATAATGTATTTACTCAATGCTAAAAGATAAAGATGAGACATCAGTGCACTGTGTCTTACTGTCAGTAACCTGTGAGAATAGACCAGGATCAGGGCCTCCTGCTGAGTTTAATGAAGGGAGAGGTTCTGAGCAGTTTGGCCATGAAAAGTCATGGTGGTGTTATTCAGAAACAGCTTGGGCTTTTATTGAAAATCCCACGCTAACTCTGGATAGCTTGTATGTACTATTACTAGTGTATATGAATTGCTGCAAGCAAGCAAGCACACAAGTTGTTTTTCCACAGAAGAACTGTTCTTTCCCATCTTACTTGGAGTTTACGCTTACATTAACCATGATTAACAGTTCTCCAGACATGGGAATGAGTGTACAGGAAGGAAGGAAGGGAAGGTAATACCGCCAGCTTGCACATTGTGCTGGAAACAGGACGACATTTAAGAAAACTGTGGCACTGCCTTCATATTTTCCTGCTTGGAGTGGCAGAAAACTGTCCCCCTCTCAGTGGGGCAGCATCAAGGAGTAGAAAAGATCCTTGTACCTTGCAAGGACAGCAAAAAAGCTCCCTGGTCCTTTGCCACAGGGGAAGGCAGGATGCAAGCAGGGGAAGGAAGTGGCCTCTGGTATGACTGCCTTCTGCCACATGTAGAGCGTACTGCTGGGCGGCTGCTGAGTATCTGCGCAGTGGATACTGGAGTTACCATCGTACTGAGATGTCCTGGGTGATTTTGCCTGTCTTTCTGCTCAGACCAATATAATGTTAACTATTTTTGTTTCATATTTTCAAAATTTTCTTCAGAGTTGTGAGAATGGGATGTTGACAGTTGTTAGTAATTGTGTTACTTTGGGGATCCTTCATGGGCTTTGTGCCTTATTCTGATCGCACCACATGTCTTGTGAATGATGTTTTAAATTTCACATGCTCTCAGAAACTGGATGTCAAAACTCCCACTGCAGAATAGCCTTGAGCTTTGCATAGGTCTGTTAGAGAAGATGGCTAGTATGCAGTGCAAGAGACTTTGTACAGAGAGGTAAGACAATCCCTGGAAAAATAGTTGGAATGTTCCATTTTTTTTTTAATACTAAAGACAGGCTGTCTTGGGAAAAAGAGGGAAATTGGAAGAAGCTGGGAGGTGTACAGAAGAGTCTGAGAGCATGGATGAGGCAGAGGAAGGGAAGAACTGAGGTGTATGCAGGAGAGAGTGTCTGGGGTGCTGTAGGTCAAGTGCAGGGCACTTGAAGCAGCTGCAATGGGACAGACGATGGCAGTGAGGAAGTATGAAGCATAAAAATAATGCATAGTACAGAATTTTACTGATAGAGAAAGGAAAAGACCTATGGAAAGAAGTGGATGTATAGTTGAGCTGGCTAAAGGGACAGTAGCTGGTCGTGTAGCGATTATAGGGAAAATACAAAGAATGCAGAGACAAGAGGCTGAGGAATGGAGCTGGCTAGCGTGGCAGGGCTGTTCCATCACAGGCTAGTGAGATAGCCCGTAAATCTGGAAATCAGATAGCTCTTACTTCTGCATGTTCATCTCAAGCTAAATTTTGGTCCTGAAATGTTCAGCCATGCCATTAGGAGAGGTTGTCTCCCCCTGAAAGCTCCAAAAAGCGAATGCCAATTATATATGTGAACCTCAGCCAAACCTCAACACGGAGAACTGGCTTATCCTGGAGTCACACAATAAATCCAGCATTACAGTGTGCTCAGCAGAGGCAAAACAAACATTTAACAAGGAAAGGAAGAAGCTTCAAGTGTGTGCTTGTGGAAGAGGTATGCTGTGCAAATAAATTACAGCTTGGGCTACTGAATTGCCCACTCCCTAAGGAATGTGCAGTATTTGCATGAAATTAAAGTAAAAAAAAAATAGTTGTCACACAATTCCCAGCGGAAAAGGAAATAGATTTGCTAGGAAAAGTGACTGTAGTTTCAAAACCAAGTACCTGCATAATTCCACATGCAGTTGACTGCTCCAAAGGATTGATAGCCAGTATCTTACCAGTGTTGCATTTTGTTTTGTTTGACTGTGCTAGTAACTATAACCATCCTTTCCTTTCCTGGTATTTTAGGTACAGAGAGAACTGGCTGCTGTCATTGCCTTGAAAGCAAGGAAGTCAGGTGAGTCAGGCTGGACTTTAGAGGGGGTTTTGTAACACTGTTCCCTTTTGTCATTTACTGAAGTATTTGAATTGTCATTGCTGTCTTATGAACATGGGGAGGCAAAGATAGCAGACCTCGTTCCTCTCTCATTGGAGAATCTGTGTATGTAGCACAATGCAATTACTGCCAAGCTTCGCTTCCCCTAGCTCATCACATCTAATGACCTAGCTGATAACATTGGAGTGTTACAGTTGAATGTGAACTTCAGTCTCTTTCTGGCCAAAATCACTATTTTCTCTGGGCTTGCACTTTATAAGAGAAGCTTGGGTCTTTATTTGACTTATACTTAAGACAAATAAGTTGATAATTTTCCTGTTTTCTTTTATGGCCCAACATATCATGCCATCTTCGCTGTGTTTTACCTGCCCAGTCAGATGCATTTCTTTATGCTAAAGCAAAAGGACAACTTCATGCATGAAGGCATTCTTTCCTGAAGAGGAATATATGTCTATACATCTGTATGGCTGTAGAGACAAGTCTATGTTATCAGGACAGTAGAAGGGGAAAGGCAAATGGATAATTGAAAATTTCTGACAGTATAAGCATTTATAGCAAATGCTGATGATACAGCGCAAAGGCATTGAAATATGTGGTCATCTCAGCTCCGTCAGGGTTTGTTAGGACAGCCACTTTCAGAAGGTATCTGCATTGCTGAGCTGGAGTGGAAGCAAGGGAGTTGTGTTTTCCGGGCACTGCACGGGAGCTAACAATACCTACTTGGCCACACCTGACTCTATACAGGGTTAACTCTCTGGTGTCTTCATGTATAGTGCAGTTAATCTGCAGCAAGGGCAAACCGCATATGGTGAAGTGAGAGTTGAATGTATTTCTAGAGTAAAACAGAGGTGGAATTGCCTTAAATTATTGGCGTGTTCCCAAAGCCATTGAGGTCTTTGGGAGCATTTTCACTGAGCATCTCTTGTGATCTTCAGTGATTTTTCTAGAAATTGGGATCACGGATCTTGCACTTTTTGAGCTATTTTCTTACCTGTTAATAATATTACATCATCATATCTGTATCTGTCTATCATCTGCGGCTTACAACTACAGCACAAAAGTTATTACACACAACACATGCACTACACACAACATGATATCTTAAACTGGAGGCACCAAGAAGATGTGGCTGGCATATCTGCAAATATTTCCTTGTGAAAATGTAAGTATTACAAAAATATTATAGACACAGTTTGATGCATTTTTGTCTGGAAATAGAAGTACCCATAGTTTATATCCACAGTCATCTGTAAATGTAAATCTGCAGAAAGTAAACACAAATCTAAGTGTGAATTCAGACCTACATTGCTTCTGTGTAATAAATACCTTTGTTTCTGAAACTGCTGTAGTAGTTTACGATGTTAACACCCCCCCAGCTGCTTGCCCTTACCTGCTATCACCCCAGTCCCACCTGAATTATAATGGTTGAATATGGAAATGCTTCTGCTCTGGTTCAGTGCAGAGAAAAACAGGCTACTTTAAGGAAGGGCTCAAGGTAACCTTTTGTTTTGCTGTAAAATGGGCTAAGATATAGTGCCATGCACCTTTTTACTGAGTGCTTATATAGTTCTAAGAATCTCCTTCCCTGCTTCTTGGCAGTTGTGTCAGCAAATATTACTACTGCTACTGGCAATAAATAAAAACTCTGTTCCCCAAAAGAGTTGATTTTAACCTGAATTAGCCTCTCATTTCCTTTCAGTGAATGGCTACATAAACGGTTGTGTCAGTAGAAAATGAGATGGGGCTTGGATTAGAAATGAGCTGCAGGAGATAAAAATGGGAAAGGAGGATAGCTCTTGGAGTCTCCTTTATACTAGTGTAATTGCAACCCATATTGAGCAGGTAGAAATATTTTAGTTAAAAATCACAGCCTTAAATAAAGCAAGCTCCCTATAGAGCTTTGAAGTGCTGACCAGCCTTTCCTAATACATTAATGTAAACACTTAAAATATCAATTTAGATCGGAACAAAAGATACCTCTTTAGTCAGTTTGACTAGTGCATGCTTGTTGTTGAAATTTGCATTTCTTTATGCCTCATCTTGGACGACGGTAAAAAATGGCTACATGATCAGGCATAACTGTAAGGTCTGATTTAAGTTAACGCCTTTACTACAGTAGGAGCAGAGTAAATTAGGGTGGTTGATTATGCTTTTTTATTTTATTGCTGATGGTTAAATTCACAGTGTAGCAGTTACAGTTAGCAATCAAGCTATGGTATGCTGTGCCTGGTGAAGTGAAGCATATTTCAGAGAAAGTACTTCTGGAGCTCAAAGCCACAGTATCTTTCGAAGATATTGTTCTTCTAACCCTCTCCAAGACTCCATATAATTCCAGGAAATAAACCAACAAAGATCAGAGAAAGAGTTTATTTTGGCATGAAAAGAGTGGAACACGGCTATTGGGCCAGCTGCCCTGGGTGGCTTCCAGGCTGTGTGAACGGCGTGGGTGCCCAGCTCATCTGCCCTAGGATTCACGAGTGGGGATTGCAGGCGATGGGCACGGTCCTAACCTGCTGGCTGGAACCTGCTTGCAGTGGGTAATCGGTTCGTTAACTGAAAGCTTTCCTAGAGATCAGCAGCCCAAAACCCAAAGCTGTTGTGCAGAAGTTCCTGTACTCTTTTTGATGGTTTGGTGTTTTTTAAATTACAGCGTTTCAAAATATTTCCTCTAGATAGCTGGTTAGCACTACCAGTTAGAGCAAAAAAAGAGTATTTTTGCTTAATGCAAGGACTGTGTAATTTGTTCCCGAATTACTTAAATTTCTGGATATACCTCTGTCCTTAGGGAGGCACTTCACAGTGATTTAATTGTACTAGAAAAACTGGCTGATTAAAGCTTTCATATTACTTGTCTAGGACTGTTGTAGTAATCACTGGGTTATATTGCATGGAAAGTGCTATACAAGCACACAAACACCACAGCTCCCTCTACAAGAGGTGAAGAGGGTCCAACTAGGAAGGTTTGCTATGCTTGGAGGGGGGGAAACATTGCCTTTGGTTAGCTGGGTGAAGCAGTTTATTTTTGTTTAAATGAAGGTTTGCTACCTAGTATATGTATATAAGCAGTAGTAATTACAACTATTTCAGTTCTTGGGCCAGAATGGCTGTCTCAGAGATTTAGAGACTGTATCTACTGACAAAATGCCTTGAAAACCAAGGTAGAGACCTGAGCCTGCTGTGGATAGGGCAGAGTATCAAATTCTTGCTAGTACAGGATCTGACTTGATGGAGAATGTCAGCTACCAGAAAATTTAAAAAGTCAGTAGGGTGTGGGGGAGAATGCCTTTCCCCAAGAGGTGTTCTTCTGTTTTTATTGTGAGGTAGAAGAATAGGAGAAACACATAAAACTGACAGATGGCTGAAGGAAAAATGCAGAACCTGAAAAATGAAAAACTTCTGTGCTGTGGAAGAAAGCTCCGTTTTCATATTTCAGATGTGTACTGCAAGTATACCACTCTGATAGCAAGGCATAAGCTGATAGAGAGGTCCTTGAGAGCCCTCATGTAGAGGGAGCTCAGAATTTCTAGCTTCTTCACAAATAAAACAAAAAAAAGGGGAAAATTAATGTCTGTAATCCTGAAGCTTTGATGGACCTCAGTAACACTGTTGACTAGACAGCACATTTATATTTCATTAGAATAAAGCTCGCAGGATAAAGATGACCTAAGAGGAGAAAATGAGCTTGTGCACTTCTCTGTGGCTTATAAAAATCTGTTAAAATTGTTGTTGCTTAACCTTAGAAATAAATAGATTAAATGCTATCTTCCTTGGCTTGGTAAAAGGTCTTGGGGAAGCAAGTAACTGGAGGAGAAAAGAACTTTGTTTTTAATTGTAGGCACTTGGCATTAGAATTGCGTTTATTTATACCTTGCTGGTTTCTGATGGCTTCTGCAAATGTGCTGAAACGTAACAGAAATGCAGCCTCTCATCTGAAGGTTTACAAGGGTTGGCATTTATCTCAATTGCTCGTCATGGCTCATGACATGTTTCTTATGTGTTAGAGATAGTAGCTAAAACAAGGATAAAAAGCAGCAAATAGCCTAAGGCTGGAGGCTTTAGTCGGTGGTGTAGCTACACGGCTACATCTGAACTGATCAAAATCTGTCAGGTAGATGCTCTGAACTGGTGTTAATCCCATCCACAAACAAGACGGCTTGCATTTCTGTGCATGAACCTAGCTGCACCGCATGGCATCAACCAGCAAATTCCTTTAACTCTATATCTAAAGGATTTTCTATAACTTTATTCGTGCAAAGGGCCATTAGTAAGAGGATGGCTCTGGTCCTTGTGTTTCTGAATACAGGGGCTAATTAAAATATCGGCTAATTAAAGTATCGATGAGGTAGGATGAGGGTGACTGCATCTTCTCCCCAGGCATTGCAGGAGCTGTGGGTGCTTCTCCCTCCCACTGTGAAGGGCAGGGCAGCCACAAAAGCCCTAGCACTTGTGTGTGGTTTTGTTCCCTCTTAAGAATGATATTCAGATTTCCACAATATAGTTAGATACTTTTTAGTCATGCCATTCTTAAATTGACAAGCTCTATTGTTTTTTTGTTTTTGTTTTTTTTTTGTTTTTTTTTTGTTTTTTTTTTGTTTTTTTTTTGTTTTTTTTTTGTTTTTTTTTTGTTTTTTTTTTGTTTTTTTTTTGTTTTTTTTTTGTTTTTTTTTTGTTTTTTTTTTGTTTTTTTTTTGTTTTTTTTTTGTTTTTTTTTTGTTTTTTTTTTGTTTTTTTTTTGTTTTTTTTTTGTTTTTTTTTTGTTTTTTTTTTGTTTTTTTTTTGTTTTTTTTTTGTTTTTTTTTTGTTTTTTTTTTGTTTTTTTTTTGTTTTTTTTTTGTTTTTTTTTTGTTTTTTTTTTGTTTTTTTTTTGTTTTTTTTTTGTTTTTTTTTTGTTTTTTTTTTGTTTTTTTTTTTTTTTTGTTTTTTTTTTTAACGGGTCATTTACATTTTATTTATAATAATAT